TTCTCCAGCATAAATATCAAATTGTTCAAAAGCATAAGATTGTAATGTAAATTTTGATAATTATGGCCTTATGATGGTGCGACAGTCAGTGGCCTGTGCCAAGAGAGCCACAGAACTACAACAATCTGTCAGCCGTCGCCGTCCACAGCAGCGATATGATTTTAAACATCAAAATTGAGAATCGCAAGTGTAGACTGATTGCATAGAAATAAACACTAAATACAGCTATCCTGGCCAGCAATCGAATCATCAATCTTCATGAGTGATATAACTGGTATTTCCATCTTTTTGACTTCTATTCCCACTATCCTAAAATTCTCAAGTGAATATTGTCAAAATTGTTAAAACATATTTTATATTCACTAAAAAAACAACGTTGTTATGTTTCTAGACTCACAACGAACTCAAAGCAAAAGAAACAGTCCGATCCAAACAACCTACGTCCTTGAAAATCGAGTCTTATTTCCCTTGCGTTTCCGAGCAAAAATATGTTCATGCCAAAAACAACTGATTTTCGCCAAATCTTCTATGACTTTTTAATAATATCATTAATTCACTCTAGCGGTTAGACGCTTGGGGATCTAAAATTGGCGATGTAAATCACTTCGGCAATGAAAAATCAGCTGTAATAATAGCCAAGGGGGTGAGGGACTGAATTTCAAAAACATATTTTATATATAGGGTATATAATAAATATCGTTAAGCAAAGCCATCTAATTTAAAAATCAAATAAATTGAGTCCATCTCTAATTACCCAAATCTACAATAACCTCAAACAGACTTTTATTTCACATTGGGAAACTGAAGTTTTCAATAACAATAGTCTCAACTAATGGGAAAAACAAACTCAGATCCTATCTTACTACCCGGTAGACTAGAAAGCACAGATTTACAAGTTTGCTTCTCCAAATTTGGCAGAGTATGAATTTATTTATTACACTTCTTATATTAAAGTTGGGCACCACAATAGAATCCCTCTGAATGACAGAATCTGTGATGTGTTTAAATCAAAACCAGGTGGATGAAATATATTTACTTATGAAATGCAATAAATACCAGGATCTCAGAAAAGATCTATTTTATATTGACAATGCACACATCCGCATTCTCAGTAGTAAATATAATAATAATAATATGAGGTTATTAGAGGATACTATAAAGTACAGTGGGAGTATCGACAGACGTGCAGTGGAGGTCGATGCAACTGCGTTCTGTATGAGTGCATACTTTGCACTGTGGCCTATGATGTTTGTTTTTATTATTAGAGGATGCTTACACACGTAATCATTCCATATTTGGAATTCACATTTCCAAATATGGTAGTCTTCATGATCATTCCATATTTGGAATTTGCATTTCCTTATATGGTAAGATGAAAATACCCTGTAAAATACCGCAAAATTACAAAACGCTATAACTTATGGCATTACGATGACAGATTTATAATAATAATCTTTATTGAACTTGTATGCTTATTGATTTTGATTTTGATAAGATGACAATTAATTACCAATTAAGAAGATGCTTGTTTGCTTCAATGTAGCAATATTTATTAAAACTGGATTGGAAATCAAACACGATCAATTATAGGTGTCTCTTTCTTGTGTTTTTATTTTTCATTCTTTTCCTTTAGATGTTGTAATTGTTAATGATCGCCTCATGAGTATTAGAAAATCATGTGTGGTTACTACGGTTTCATCACAAAGTATGTTTGAACCAAAGGGTGCACTTTAAAAAAAAATTGACAGGGTGCAATTTAAAAAAAATTTACAGCGTCTGTTGTTCAAACTCAAAACATCAACATTTCCTATGGAAATTTGGTCTGAAAAATGACTGAAAACGCTGAGGTGAAAAATGCATTTTTTGGTTGGGAGAATGTGATAGGAGCTACACACTGTTTTATATGAGATAGAAGCTGCATATTGTCCATTTCAATCTTCTTTGTGTATTGCTTGTGTTAACAGATTAATAGTGTGCAGTTTAATTGAGGCATGCCAGACTGCGTATTAGGGTGATTCACTTATAACCACTTGACTATTACTGATAACAGGGGACATGTTGTTTCTATAATAATAATAATTATTACACTACCAAATCATCAGCAGGTTCAGTATGGTAAATAAAAAGTATTACAAGACTAGGACAATTCTAAATACAGTACAATAATAAGAATAAGAATAAAATAAAGACTGGGTTAAAAATAGTAATGTTAAAAATTTACTAGAATGAATGCAATTATTAAAATAAAAAACTGATCTAAATATTAAAAAGTAATTTAGTACCCCCCCCCCCCCATCAACCTTCCTCCCATAGGTGAAGTGATTAAAAATTAAGAATAATGATGCCAACTTCCCCCACTATCAGAATGGTACAGTCCCCAGTCTCAGCATGAGAAATGAGTGCAGTTACTTGTCCCAGACTTACTGATTGGCTACAACAATCTTATTATTATAATTACCTGATACTGAAGTGTGTTAAAAATCTGTCATGTGATGTGAAATGTACATGCCTTAATGTTTTAACCCAAATCATACCACATACTCTATACAGCTGGTACAAGTAGGATTAGAGCGGTACTGTCATCAGAACAGCACATGTTCACATTCTTCTATTACTGCTCTTCTTATTTTTCTCTTCACGAATGCCATAAAATCATCAAATCACAAATTCAGCGTCGAAAATTAAGTGGTCTACAGTATGTACATAACGAGAAATGAATAATTGTCATAGATACATATTGAATCATAATGCTATACCCTGTGTTGAAAGTATCATACAAATATTGCCCCTCACTTTAGTACCTGACACTACTCTTTATAATGGTATTGCCCAGCTAATTAATCATTATCAGTTAAATAAATAAATAATTACTTGTTCTCTCATTAGGAGTAATTTTTCGTATTTATTATACCCACGACCATGACCATGTTGGCGATTGAAAAGTCTTATAAAAGAATGTCTCGATTAATGCTGCTGTTATCGTTATTCTGGCTGATTGTTGCCCACGGTGATGATGTAGATGATGAAGACAAGATGATTTATGTGGAAGATATTGAATCATTTGGTATCCATGGTAATACATTATCTGTTGGTAGTATTGGTAAATTACCAGAGTGGGACTCGCAGGGATACGTGATGTATTGTCCATGCATGGGTAGGTTTATTATCTCAGGAAACTCATTTTTTTAATGTATAACAGATTATTACAATTTTATTTTGACAATAGACACACCTCTGTAATTTGCATTCATGTGCTACTAATAGAGCAAATATTTTATTTATTGTTTGTGAGAATTGTTATCAGTTATCGCCACCTAACTGCATAACTGCATCATCCCTGTTGGGTCGAAAATAGGAACTTAGTCCTAATGTGTGTGCTTCCATTCAGACATTCCTGTTTCTTAAATAGATATGTATTTGATAGATTTGATTCAAACATTACCTAAACGCAGGATCTTATTGTGTTGGTGTAAACGAGGGGTGCAAAGTTTTGTTATCACAATTTTGAATATTACACTGGTAAATAATTATCATAATTTTAACAATGTTTCAAAACTCAATCCATGGTGAAACTTAACAAAAAACCCTTGAAATACAAATGAAAGATGGCCATTTGGCAGCCATTTTGTTTTGAAAAGGCCATCTGGCAGCCATTGTTTTTCATGATGCTCATGACCATGTTCAACTGAGAACTATCATAAGACTAGTTTCACCATTAAAATTTTAGGAGGGGTGAAATAGTAAAACTCTAGATATCAGCCAATATTTGCATTAAAATTCAGAACCAATAATCTATGGCTATCATCTACTTGTGTGGGAAGTTGAATATTTGGATTTGATATTATTCATACACCACCATATATCAGTCATACATGACACATACACAGTAGCTATACAATAAACCAACACATAAATCAGGAACTCAAAATGGACCTGCTGGAAATACATCTGAACTTGTGCATGAAAGTTCAATACAAAATACAACATGGTGATTGGTCAACAACAAATATGCAGTTTTTCCCTATCATGTTGCATTCTCACTCAGATCCCCTCACTGACCCCTGTAAGCATGCAATACAATATGATGTATTAAATAACATGAAAAGGTAAACAATAATAATAAACGATTCCATATATTTCTGACTTGTTTCAAAATACAATATACTGTAGAATACTTTATTTTCGCTTAGAAATAATTATCGCTGAAGGGATGATTCAGTGAAAATAAAATCTAGCGAATATAACTTTTTTTCCTATATTTCACATTCAACTCATCAAAAAACAGTGAAAATAAATTCCATACAAAACAGCCAAAAATCCCTTTCAGTGAAAATTATTCCAGCTAAAATAAAGCATTTTACAGTACTTACTTTGCAAAGTGTATTATCAGATGAGTATCCATGTAACACTTAATAATAAGTATGGCTGCATGTACTGTAAATGCATTAATTATTCTCTATTTTTATTTTTGTTAAATAAAATCCACTAAATTAAACATGTACAATAGAACACAATGACTCATTAGCAAATTTACAAAATTTAAACTTAAAAACACAAAAATATCTGCTCAAAATAACAAAATTGAATGTCTGTGGAAATAAATGGTTTTACAGTAGCAATATAAAACTTTCCTGTTTAATGTCAGCTATGCTTTGAGTACACTAATAATGTGAGGAATTTTTAAACTATTACTGTGCATCATTTCATTTATTAGTTACTCTATTTTAGACTATATTAAAATAGTTGTGATGTAAAGTGTAATTGGTCTGTTACGCTCATTTCATATTACCCGTAGACGCAGGGTTATAGCAAGAAAATAGAAAGTGCCTGTCTCCAATCTGTAACCACAAACTTACAATCAATTTTTCATTTACTTGAAATTTTCAATCAGATATTTTGCCTGTCAAATGAAATTTTGTATCTGTTTACAATGTGGAGTGACTGTCTAAAATGACATAGACAGGTGGCTGGCTAAAAAACCTGCATAGATGTTGTTAACTGTGAAATGTTGTCAATATTCATAATTATACCTTAAAATTAAAAAACTGC